GAAAATAAAAACAATCATAAATGATGTATATCAAAATTTTGTTGATCATGATGTGAAAAAAATAGAGAGAATATGCCAAAAAAAAAATCCTCAGTATGGTGAAATTACTGTTATTTCATATCAGTTGTAATCACAACACATAGCTACATAAAGAGCCAACTCCAAATTTCAAGCTTCACCCTCTCTTATTTGTTTAATTTTTTTGTTTTTGAATGTTAATTACACCTTCTTTAAAACCGTAGATTAATTATACGGCACGAGTGGATTTTTCAAACCTTCAACTTCCTCGTAATCTCGGCAACATACTTACCTTGATGGAAGGCTTGCTTGAGCTCGAGCTCCGTGGGTTGGCGGGACCCATCTGCCGCATAAGTTCCGGCTCCGTATGAAGATCCACCCTTCACTTGCTCCATCTCAAACATCCCGCTACCAAACGTGTACCCGAGAGGAACAAATATCATGCCATGATGTGCCAATTGTGTTATGGCTGTTAACCTGCACGCGCACAAATATAATCGCAAACTTCTCTTTCGCACGCACAAAACAAAAACAAAAGATGTGAAAATGTTTCTAAACAAGTTCAAAAACATTAATGGTATAACACGCACGCCAATGACTCGATCGGGCTTCTAAAAAAAATAGGCTAAATTGCATTTTTAGTCCTACTAGTTTAACGCTATAGCAATTTTAGTCTCAAAATTCTAACATTTTGTCTTTTGGTCCTGTCATTTAATATTTTGCTGCAATTTCAATCATTTGAAGACTGCAATTGCAACAAATTCCAAAATTTATATATCTTTGGATGAATTTTTGATTTGCAATTTCAGTATATTAAAATTTTGTTGCAATTTGAGTCCTCAAATGATTGAAATTGCAACAAAAATTAAATCCCAGAATCAAAAGGTGAAAAATTGGAACATTAGGACTAAAATTGTTATGACGTCAAACCAAAAGTACTAAAAATGCACTTTCTTCCAAAAAAATGTCAATAAAATATATTACGAAACCTTACGCGGTAAGCTCCTGTCCACCTCCATGAAAACCCGTGCTCCAGAAAATCCCAGCAGGCTTCCCTGCAAGAGCTTGAGTGGCCCATATGTCCTGTGTGGCATCAAAAAAGGCTTTGCATTGTGCTGCCATTACCCCAAAACGAGAAGGAAAACCGAAGAGAAAGCCATCGGCTTCCACCAGTTGTTCGGGCTTAATCTCGGGCACATCATTGGCTTTATTAGGAGCCTTCATTTTCATTAAAACCCGTTCGGGCAGTGTTTCAGGAACCTATTAGAAACAAAGCAAAGAACTGGACAGCTGTTCATATATAAGGTTAAGTTTTTTTTGAGCTTATCAAGACTTGTTAGCCTCAATTTTTCAGTTTACTAACCATTTTTAACTAAGTATGCTATCTTCATTTTTTATTTTTCTGTTTTAAGCAAAAACTACTGATTTTTGTTTATGGCTAACAAGAAACATTAATAATCAGTTGGTCACAAGTATGAACAATCAACTGATCAACTATTTACATACTACAGATAAACAAACAACCTAACATTTTTATAAAATTCGAATTTAATCGCTCTCAAATTCAAAACTTTGGAATTGGATTTGGAATCAAGAAACTGATGGCTTCAAAGAAGATACCAACATCCAAATTTGAACTATCTTCCAACAAGAAATAAATCAATTCGCGATTGTCAACTCCCCTATCGCTCAAAGGCCCATACATATTCAACGGATAATTCGTAATTTGAAATAAAAATGACACTTTAAAAAACAACGTATACCAATTCATACCATAAGTATGCATTTTTGTTAAAAATGTATGACAGATCGACTCGCCTAACAATTAGAATGTTTCGCGCAAGAATTTGTGTTAATTAGAGAGCTAATATAAATAAATAATATAACATACACAAAACTAAACAGAGAAAAAGGGGTTATCACCTGCCAAAGAGTAGCTTCAACACCAGGAACTGCATTAGCCCCCTTTTGTATTTCTCTTGCCATGCTCTCCACATGGCCATATAGTGAGTAATACCTGAAACATATCAAGCAAAACCTTAAACTAGTTTCTTTTAGAAAAAAAGAAATANGATTTTCATAACATAGACCCTGACATGAATAACACTCATGTTCAAATTAAGTTTCTTACACTATATACACCTTGGTGGTGCCCATCATCAGAAGCTCCTCAATGAAACCTGAAATAAGCCAAATAAGATAAAATAAAATAAAATAAAACGAGAGGATAATAGTGGTAAAGGAAGGGTCTTTGCTCTGAATACAGGGGAAATTAGTCATGATATTGATGAAAACCTGATGAATATGTAGAAAATACAGGGTTCAGCCCGACCATAAAAGTGATTGAAAAATGGGTCGAAGAGAAGAAGAATTATGGCTGTGAGGATTCATTTTCTTACAAGTAGGCTTAAAGATGGATAAGAAGACAGACGTCAGATACAAACAACACTTGTTTAGACACATTCTTGTAGCTAATCCATATCACCCACCCACCGGACTTTTGTGCTATTATTGTAATAAAAGAAAAAAAATTACATAATATTTTTAATACATGTCCTAGCTCGTGCAATATCAATTAAAATATATGTTAAGCATTTACTAAAAGTAACAAAAGATTTTAGTTACCAAAAGATGAACTTTTAAGATATGAGAGTATATTTTCCCCAATCATTTATCTTTCGGTTATAGATTTAATAAAAATGTTTGTGAAAGTTGTATCAATCTTTTTACATCTTTTTTTTATAGTTAATTTGGTATATACAAATCAATTTTCACAACATTTTTTCAGTCCGCTAATAGAATTTGAAAATTATATTTCTTAGTCGTGTATTATTACTATAATGTTTGAGTCTAATAAATGATGTATTGATAATTGAATATTTCGATCATAACTAGCAATATCCTTGAAGGTGATATTTTTATATTGACCAAGAAAGAAATAATTATTATACATTCAAATGAGTAATGTCGTGTACAAAAAGGAAAATTCATGTAATAATTGTTCTTAACTTTTTTTTTTTTTATATATACTATTTCGACAACTATAGTAACATTCTATAGGTAGCATAACTTATATGATTGTAGTAAGTGTGTAATTTGACAAGAAAGCATATTTGGCATAGGTACAAACATTAGAAGAAAGGCATTAAAGTTTATTTCATGCCCCAACAAAATCAAAAGAAACCAATACTGTATAATATTATTATTATTAATTTACTATATTTTGCCTCTTAAATGAAGGAAAAATTATCTACTTGAAAGGACCATATAAAAACTCTACTTATAGCTAACTTGAGAGGGAAACTCCTCTGACCACTTCTTTTTTTTGGGTATCCACCATGAGCAAGGCTATCTTCATTGGCCTTGGCTTAAAGCTTATTTCCTTTCTCTCTTGATGAGAGAATTACAAAAATATTTTGCACACTCAAGAGTTTGTCTAATTCCAAAAAGACACCAATTCACTTTTCAAAACTACAAACACCCCCTTGTAGTTTTGTATTTATCTCACAAACACCCCCCATCGTGCGCTTTTGCAAGATCGAAACAAACGTTAGGTATCGCTTGTAATTTTAGAAAGATAATCGAGCATTGTAATAACTGTCGTGTTTTTTTTTCCTTTCATCATCAACATTCCCGATTCTCCTCATTTTTCACGTTCCGAATTTTCATGAGGTCTACACATCATCATTGAATTCGATCGAGCTCAGACGAAAACAAGTATCCTCAGCACCCAAAAGATCATTCCTCACGGCCAACAAGAAGTCGCCATCCTTAGGTTCGACTTTTGTAGCTCTCTTGAAGTACTCCTCAGCTCTG